AAATTCAATTCATCTTGGTTAAAATCTTTTGACATCTGGGCATCTGAAGATTCTGGGCCAACAAGGTTGATCTCGTAGTTCATGGGAAGAATAAGTCATGTTCACACAGATCCATTCCAGCAAGAGGATGACATTCTTCCTCAATCATAAAATGAGTGAACAGTTCATTGGGTGAACAACTAGGGGGTGAGAATGAGCACAGTGTACGTGGAGGGAGGAAACAGATTTCACTGGAGCAGAAGAACAGAAATGTGAGAGGAAAGGCAGGTAAATTTGGGTAGGCCTAGTGGTTTCACATTATGGAGGGTCTTACAGGGGTATGAATGAGACTTTTTCACTAGTTTCCTACTGCTACTGTAACAAATTACAACAAACTTGGTGGCTTAAAGCAACACAAATCTATTACCTCAGTTCTAGAGGCTGGAAGTCAGAAATGGGTCTCACTGGGCTAAAACCTAGGCTGCATTCCTTTCTGGAGTCTCTAGGGGAGAATCCATTTTCTTGCCTTTTCTAGCTTCTAGGGGTTGCCTTAGAGTTTGGCTCATGACCCTCTTTCAACTTCAAAGCCAGCAATGGCTATTCTTTCTCACATAACAGCACTCTGACACTTTCTTCTGCCTCCTTCTTTCACTTTTAAAAACCCTCTGATTACTGCGGGCCCACCCAGATAATTTAGGATAATTTTCCCATTTCAAGGTCAGCTGATCAGCAATATTACCTTTATGTGAAACTTAATTCCGTTTTCTCATGTAACCTAATATATTCACAGGTTCCAAGGATTAGGACATGACACTTTTGGAGGCCGTTTTTCTGCCTACCACACTCAGAATAGAAAGGGAAGCCTCTATCTAGCTCTTAAACCGTAAATGCCATGATGAAACCACAGAGCTCCAGAATCAGCTGCCCTAAACCGCCCTCTCCAAAACCTTGCACAACTGAGTCACAATAAGGATTTTTTTTTCCTTTGTGCAAAAAGAGTATTTTTTTTAAATAGCAGATATATATGAATTATCTGCTTCACTTACATCCATATAGACAGATAAAAAGAACATTTGAATTGTTCTGGGTACAGATGATGCTGGACGTAAGTAATGGCCCAGTTGTCATATGGTGGGATGCCCACATGCATAATATTCTGAATTATTTTTAACTCATTTAATTCATTCATTATGGGATCTGAGTGTCTATGAATCTGGTGGGTGGTATGATTCCCATGACACTGATAGGGCTGTGTGATTCTTTTGCATAACACTAATTAATAATGACAATATACCTCTCTTGAATGTAGTTATCTTTTTAGAGCTCAAAGGGTTTAACAGAATTTATCCTTTTTCTTTCAAAAATATGCCTATGGGGTTACCAGCTTCAGTATCACTATCTGAGGTTAAAATAAGAAATGATTTTCCAACATCAGTGAGAGGCATAAGGAAATTTATAAATACAATGATCTGGTTGAAAAAATAGCCAAACTGTTTTCATATACACAAATTGTAAATTCAGATGCTTCAGTGAAGCTTTCTGAAGTTGATTATTTGTATCTTCAAAGTACAGGTGACCACGTCTGCTTTCATTCACTCTTCTAACGAGTGTTTCACGTAAACTCCCAGCTACCAGATACCATTCCAGGCAGAGGAATTCAATAAAAACAAGACAAGGTCATTGTGCTAAAAGAGCTTACTGTTAGTAGGAAATAGATCATACACTTTTAACAAACATATTAACAAACAAATTATCTTCTAGGCAGTGAAAAAACTCTGAATAAAAGGAAAAAATAGCATAGAGTATAAAGAGTGAGAAAGAGAGAAAAGTAGTGTTATTTTAGTTAGGGTGGTCAGGGACCAGATATTTGCATAAGGAGCAAGCCATATGAAAAACTGAGAAAAATGGTGAATATGCCAATTTGATTCAATGAACAAACATTAATTAAGCATAGACTATGGGCCAGGAGTCATTTTTGGTGCTGGGGAGAAAGCGGGTATAAAGATTCTGCTTGAGGCAAGACAAGCCTGAAAAGATTTAAAAAACAACAACAAAAAGTCTATGTACCATTGAGATATAGTAATAAATGTCTTTACCAAACACATTAACCCTATAATTATATAACAAGTGAAATAATTACCAAAAGCACAAAATCTTAGTAGTAGCAGTCAGCCTAACTACCCCTCTTCCTAGATCTGTGGGGTTTTTTGGTTTTTTTGCAACTGGATCACTTGCTTAAACAAAGTCTCATGTGAAATTCCAACATATCAAACAAATAAAAGTGATCTGTTCCACTGAAGGATTTGTAGCTATCCATAGCTCTACCTGTTCTGCCTCTCCTCAAAATCCCTATCCCTGTTTGGTAGTGATATTAATTTCTTAGTTTTGATAATTTTACCATGGTCATGTAAAATGTTAACATTATGAGAAGCTGGGTAAAGGATATATGGGAGTTCTACATACTACTTTTGCAATTCTTCTATAAGTCTAAAATTATTTCAAACTAAAAATTTGAAAGAAAAAGAAAATCTGACTACCATCACTACCAGGCAGCCCACTTAGGATACAAGGGACATCACGTGAAGCCATTAACTCTGCTGACTAGCCATGCCTGGCTGATTTAGCCTACCCATATGAGACCTTCAGAAAAGGGCAATTCTTTTCTGGGTAGCAGATTCTGGTTCTTAACCATCCTCCACAACAGAAAACTCTTTCTTATGACTCTTTAAACCTTTCATGCTCTGGAATAGACCCACTTTTTTCAAGTTTTCTCATCAATAGATAATTAAATTGACTTTTACAAAATAATACTTTGTGATATATTTACAGACCACGTAATTTTTCATCAACCTTCTTTCTACAAGTTAAGAACAATGCTTTCATCTTTTCTCATAGGTCTTCTTTTACCACATTTGAATCATTCAGGGGATTTGCCACTTTCAGTTCTTAAACTATGGGTCCACAGCTTATTACTGGACTAATAAATAAATAAATAAATAAATAAATAAATAAATAAATAAAAATTAAATTACATTAAATTAAAAGAGGAACCAGACAGTGTCAAATACCTTGGGTGAGAGGGGTGTATTACCAGTTAGATTTTATATACAATATTCCTATTTGGGTATTATGCTGTAACAACCTCACTACATTAACATATTTTGTTATTTCTTACACGTTTTTTGACACCACTTATGACAGTTGTTAAGCCAAGTGCCCCAGGCATTTGCTCCCAACCAATGAACAGCCAGACTGGGAACTTCAAGTCTTTAAGGGAGTTACAACTGCCAAAAATGCTCTCTCACCAGGAGACATATTCCCTAAATTATATAAAGTAGAAATCTGTTCTGAAATTATTCACCTGGTATCATTAAATAATAAGATAAGGAGACCAACTAAGTCTGTGACCCTGTCAGTTAGACTTCTTTATGCTTTAGTTCTCTAAAAAGTGAGGATAAGTGTTTACCAATTTCATGTGGGTGCTGTGAAAGTTGATTAATGTTTACAAGGCACCATCTGATGAGAGGCTCTGGCTGTACCACCCAAGTCACTGGCTGTAGTATGCCCAGGTCCCTAAGGGCACTCCCTCGAAGACTGGCACCATGACTGTAGGTGACTTGCTGTGGCCCATCACTAGTTTGTGACCCAACTGTACTTTCAGACATGCACACCAAGAGCCAGTGAGGCTATCACCCAAAGCTGAAAAGCAGTTTTTCTAATGCTGCAGGCTCATGCACAAGGTACCAAAATAGCACGAGAAATACTATACCCATATTGCTTTATCCTAGACATCTGACACTTGTAAAGCTGATGCCAAATTTCTTGTCACATATGTGTCTGGAAGCCTTAGTGCTGAGAGGCATTTCTTATCTTCTGACATTTCAGAGAGCTGCATGGAGCTAGACAAGCACAGACTCTCCTTCAAAAAGGCATGAGGCAAATGCAAGCATTCTTTTCAAGTGACCTCCATGGCCCTCACTGGAAGAGATCCAAGACACCCTTCGGCACATCTGTAATCCTTAGGCTATTCCAAATGTTTGAGTGTGCTTCTTCCAGTGAGTGAGAGCTGAACTGCTCTGGCTCTCCAAGGTCATCTGGAAATGATATGCCCATTAGCCAAATGAGGAAATGCTACTGCAAGCAAACCAACCATAAGACCAAATGATCCACAAGGGTCCACACGCCCAGATTCTCTGTCTTTGGTGACATAAGCCACTTCCATCTATTAGAATTAGGCTTCAGTTAAGTCTAATTACTGTTGTGACTGACTTTCCCAAACAGAAACTAAACCAGGATTTTTGCACGTGACACAATAATAGATAATTTCTCATGATTCCCTTCTCTTCTGACCCTACCTCCACAACCTACCTGAAAAAGCAGGTGCCGTGGAGACCCCATCCCAGCCACCAAGGAGCAGGGGTTTCTAATAGAAGAGTCCCAAAAACAACATGTGCCAGAATAACCTACTTTTTAAGTGTAAATTCCTGGGCTCTATTTCAAACCTTTGAATCGAAACCTCTGAAAATAAGATCCCAAATCTGCATTTTTAACAAAACCCCCAGAAGATCTTTAACTTTTATTTTCCCAGAAAATTTTTATGCACACTAAATTTTTTAAAGCCTGACAGAATTTTCAAGTAAATTTAAACCCAGACAAACCCTCAGCCACAGGCCTATGTTTAGTGGTCATTGAGTCACCCACCCTAAACTTACCCTTCAACAAACTATGACTGCACTCAAGAGGAAGGAACACATTTCATGACTTCCTCCTTCTCTGACTCTCACTGTTCATGCCCCTCCTTTGGGATCATAAGCACTGCCAGATGAGGCTTCTGGCGTCAGCTGCCTTGTATTGTTTAACTTTTTTTTTTTCATTAGTTTTCCATTGCTGCCATTAACAGGTTTCACAAATGTATGTTTATGTATAACTGAAAAATTGTGCTCTACACTGGAATTTGACACAACATTGAAAAATGACTATAACTCAATAAAAAATATTTTTAAAAAAACAGGTTTCACAAATTTTTGGCACAAATTTATTAAACTCCAGTTCTTCAGGTTAGAAGTCCAAAGTGGGTCTTAGTGGGCTAGAATCAAGGTGTCGGAAGGGCTGGGTCCTTTCTGGATGATCTATGGTAGAATCCGTTCCCTTGCCTTTTCCAGCTTCTGGAGGCTGCCCACAGTTCTTGGTTCATGGCTGTCTTCTTTCATCTTCAAAACCAGTAACGCTGCATCTCTCTGTTCTTCACATTTCTTTCTGACTCTCCTTTTCTGTCTCCCTCTTTCACTTTTAAGAACTCTTGTGATTATATCAGGGCCACTAGGATAATCCAGGATAATTTCCCCATCTCAAGGTTCTTACCATGTGATTAACTCTGCAGGATCCCTGTTGCCATGTAAGGTAACATTTTCCAGGTTCCAGGAGTTAAGATGTGGGCATCTTTGGGGGCCCATCATTGTGCCTACCACACTTTTCATCTGTAATATGAAGGATGTCTTCATTTGGCTTCCCCCAAAAGCAGACCCTGAGACTAGGATTTGAGTACAAACCCAGGAAGCCAAGAAAAGGAGTGGGGAAGTCAGTCACTAAGGGAGGAAAGCAAGCAAGTGAGTTAATGAGCAAGATAATCACTACAGGCAACAGACTGAATTCCTCCAAGGATTGTGTATTACACACCTTAGAAGAGTCCCACCAAGAGGCAAAGAAACTGGGGCATTTAGCTACCAATTCCCATCATTTACCAGGTAGAAGTCACATTAACTCCCTGGTACTTCTGGCACTTCCTGCCTCCATGACTGTGGAAGGGCTCCACAAAGACCAAGAGAATGACCTTGGCAGAGACATCCATGAGACCGTAAGCTTGTTTCATCTGAGGAGCCTCCAGAGTGAGTCAATGGGCTAACAGTATCTGAACCAAGGCTCTGGTTTTTGAGGGGAGTGTGGCATTACATATTAAAAGTTTAAATGCTCATATCCTTTGACCCAGCAATTTGACCTTCAGGTAATTTATGCTAAGGACATAACTGGACACACATGCAATCATTATTTATAATATTTTAAAGAACAGAAAATAATTTAAAATTTCCATTAATAGGGGATTGGTTAAATAAACTGTGGTGATAAAACTGAATACTCTGCTCTAATTAAGTATAATGATGTTGGTCTACATTTATTGATAGAGAAACCATTTCCTGACAATTTCTGAATGAAAAAAGGCAGGTTGTACAAATAGTAAATATATTATAAATCAGCTTATGTAAAATTATGTGTGTATAATATGTGTGTGTGTGTGTATGCATAGCAAGATGGCTCAAAGAATGTTCATCAAAACTCTTTAACAGTAGTTATTTCTAGGAAGCAGAATTTTTCATCCTTTATACTTTCCCCTTTATACATCTATGTATTTCAAAATTTTTTTGGAAACAATGTATTATTTAATAATCAATCTATTACAAAGATATTTCCCATTAAAAAAAGAATTAAAGGTGTCCTAAAAGGTAAGTGTCATTTTAGGTCTAATACAATAATCTTCAATGAGCTTATACATAGTTCTCCATTTTAAAACTGCATGAGTTTTGGGACCATGCATTACACAGAATATTTAGGGCATATTTTGAACACAGTAAGTGTTTAATATTTTTCTTTAACTAATTTTCATCAGTATGAAATTCAGTAAAACAACACACTGAGTGAACTGGATCACAGTGAAATTTTCCCAATGCACAAGATGACTTCCCAGTGAGCTGAGCAGCATGGTATGGCCTTATTAGGCAAGAACCTGTCACTATAGCCAAAGGCAAGCCTGTCACTGCCTGGACACATCTGCATCATCCTCCCAGAGATGCTATCAAGAGCCTCACCCCCTTTAGGTAGAAGGGAAAACCAAACCAATGTGAGGACAGCCTGGCAATTTTTACAGCACAAATAAGACAAGTGGAAACAGAGTCATCTGCAGAAAACTAATTCAACAGTTTGTCCCCTAAACTGTAAGCCTTCCTCAGAAAAAGCACTGCACTTTTCTATGCATGATAACAAAGCCAACTGCAAGTGCTGAAAGGAAAAACAAGTGGAAGAACAAGCCATGGTGTGCCCATAGTGCAACAGATATAAGAATAGTTTCATGTGAGACTTTATAGTAATTCTTCCAGACCCTGTGCCCCTCTTGTATGTCTAAGGGAAAATTAATTTTCTTACCTGTGCAGGTTGCTCTTGGACTCTTCTTTGTTCCTTTGAATCTGAATAAGGAACAGATAACAGAGAAAATACAAAAATGGACAAGTCCCAGTTGATTTATATATTAAAGAGTTGACAGAGGTGGCAAGAGGAGGAAGGAGGGAGAGAGACCAGGCAATCACATGAAATGTGTGTCAGGAGGATTGTAAAGTGTCGGCTGGAGATACAGAGCTTAGGGGAGCACCTGATGTCCAGAGGGAAGGGAATGAGGATAACAGTGAACTACAGAGATTTTAAGATGCTCTTTCTATATTAATAATGCATAACACATACTAAAACCTATTAAACTGTATGCTTTAGATGGGTGAATTGTATGGTAATGTGAACTGTACCTCAACAAGGCTATTTTTTAAAAAGAGTACCCTCCCAGAAAAATGCACATCCCATTTAGGCAGGTTATTAAGAAAGTAGCAAAATATTTTAAGAACTCTAATTACTTTTTGGGGAACTACACCATTTCTTTAAATTATTCTTGCACTGAGACTGAGTCATGTGGAACTTCAGTTATGTTTGGGTTATAATAGAATAAAGGTCCTTAGATCCTAGAGGATCCTTAAAGATACTCTAATCCACACTATCACTTCAAAGGTGAGAAAATGAAGCTGGAAAGGTTAAGTTTTCATTATGACACAGAAGTAAAGCTGGGAACTATGGAGATCTGATCTCCACTCTTTTGAAATCTACCACCCCACCCCCGTCTAACACTTTTCCTGCTATTGTTTACAGAAAGGAACAATTTGAGGATAAACATGATCAGAACATGTAGTTATTATGCCCATGGCTCAATCAAGTTTTTCTGGCCTTTAAAACAAATCAGTTAGACTGGCATCAATCCAAGCAGTTGTACAGCATTGCCCAGCAAACAGCCTCGCCATGGAGATTGGAACTTTCTGGCCCAATCCTGGAGAATAATCAATCCTCACAATGGCAGTGTTGCCCTCACCTCCTTTTAAAGAGCAACAGGAAAATAACAATGGCTACCACTTATTTGGGCTCTTATCTACATCAACTTGGGCAGGGTATTCAGAGCCCTATGACACTAGAATTTGGAGAGTTCAATTTAAAAAAAAAAAGTGTTTAAACTACTAGACGCCATTATGTAAATAACACCCATCATATCAGAAATTTATGAAGTTAATTATGGGATCTCATCTCTGATGCTCTCCCAGGATGGCTCTTGGCACCTGCTATGTGCTAGGCGCCGGTCTAGACATTTTACATATGGCATCTCTTTAATCCTGACAATAATCTTATTACATGGGTATTAATCACCTCATTTTGCAAATCAAAAAACTGAAAACACAATGGAAGCAGGACCAAACGAGTAGGACACAAGTTTTGCAGTCAATACAATATCCTTACAGATCAAGGAGGGTAAACTTCATGATGTGATTTAAGGCTGTATGAAAAGAATCTCCTTTTATCCCAAAAGAGTCACCCCAGTGCCTGTCATTCCATCATTAGCTCCATTCATCTGTGACTTACATACCCTTAACAGTTACCTATGAATTTTAAAATAACCTAAGCGTGGATCAGAGTAGACAATACTATACTACAGAATAAACTGGAATCTCAGTGGCCCGACACAATAAAACTATTCCTTGCTCATGTAAGTCTGATGCAGATGTCTGGAATCCTTTAAGGGGATCCATGATGAGACAAGGAGAGCATGGACGATGGACGGTGCAGGATGTTTTAGATTCACAGCATACAGATCAGATCATTCAGGACTACAAGCAAAGTACATCATTACCACCCACATTCTGCTGGCCAGAACTCAGTCACATGGCCAACCTAACTGCACAGGCAGCTGGGAAATACAGGAAAGCAAAGGAGAGGGTCAGCACCATAATCCCCACCATACTCCTGAAAGAATTACAGCTTTGGTTCTTGTCTGTCAGCATATTGGTTAAGAGTCAGTAAAACAATAGACACAAGTAGTACATAAGGGATCTCTTTTTCAGGACAGAACCAGAAAGGAAGTGGTGGAAAAGAGGCAGTGACAGAGATAAATGTACATACTTCACAATTTAGTTGGGTTCTGCCCAATTTGGAAGATCAGCCTCACTGTGTCTCCAGCTCCTTGTTCACACTTCCAAGGGCTTTGGCTGTGTGATGAGTCAGACCTTACATCTTGCAAGTGTAAGTCCTCTCAGAAATATTAGAAATAAAGCTGGTTGTTTATTTTATTCCTAGACGTAAATAGGTATTTGGGGAAATACAATAAATACTCTCCTGACAAGCTGATTGTAACAGCTATTAATAAATTGACATCTTTTTCCATTTAATTCTATCATAACTCAAAAACAACAAAACAATGAATTGTTCCCCCCCAAAATGATGAATCAAACTTGACAATGCAAAAAAACTTAAATAATATATTTAAAGGAAAAATTATAATGTATTAAAACATTAATAATAGTTATTGGTACATGATCCAATTATTCTAGAAACCTGGCTTGAAACCCTCTTCTTCAATCAGTTTAGTCACCAACTACATTTGATTTTATCTCCAAAATATCTCTCAAGTTTATCATCTTCTCTTAATCCTTCTATTCCCATTGTGGCTGGCTCAACCGTTCTCACCTGGAGTATCACATCACCTCCTAGATGATCTCCCTGCATTCAGTCTTGTCCACTCTGTCAATCACACTTTGGGGGAGCAGTGAGCTTAACTGCAGCGTGCAAGGGAATCCTTTTAGAAGCTGGTTGAACATGCTGATTCCCAAGTTTTGCCCCAGAAATTCTAATTCAGTGGATCTAAGGTGCAGTTCAGGGCTCTGAATTTTTAAAAGGCATTCCAGAAGATGGTGATGTGTGCGATCCTAGGGGAAATGTTGCTCCATACAAAATCTGGGCACGAATCCCAAGTCTCAATTGCCAGTCCTCTGGTTAAAGCAATTAAATAGTTCATCTCTCCTCGCTGGATAAATTCCAGGCCCTTTATTATAGAGTATAGAACCTCCAAGACTCAGGCCTTGAATATCTCTCCAGCCTCCTATTTCACTATTCCTCCTCAAATCTTACACTTTCAGAATCACCAATGCCGAACTATTTGCATGTCCTGAGCACACTGTCTTGTTGCATGCCTCCATTTTAGCCCATGCTGTTCTGGCTACACAGAATTTCCTTGTGCATTGTCTTTCTGATAAACCAGCATTTAACTTCAAAATTGAGCTTCAGTCATCCTTTGTTAATTTCCTCTATTATGCCACCGTTAACTCTGTCAGAGTTAATGTCTTCCTCCTCTTTCTTCCTCCTGTCTGCTCCTGACCTTTGTATGACTTCGACTTCAGTACTGCACATCTTTGTTTACATTCCTCTCATTCTCTGTCTTTTCATCATCTTACCTCCTTGCTTTATCTCCATGCCTGGCACTTTGAAGGCACTAAATAAACATTGTTGAATGATCAGTACACAGGAAAACTGAGCTCCTCTGGGGATAGCAATAAATAAGGATTTTTTTTTGGATTATCTGATTAAGTTAAACATTTTACCTCAGCTCAGTTTTATAGCATTTTCTATTTCCTAAATTATTCAAATTAATTCTACAAACACTTTTTGAAATCCTCCCGTGCATGTCATTGTACAATAGCGCTTTCTAAAATCCTATGTTTATATGCTAAAAACTATGAGATATAGACTTTCTTTGCCTTTCATCCTCTACTGGTCTTTCATTTTCTTAGTTAACTAATAGGTTTTGTACCACTTAGATGAGGTACTAAAACTTTGTGGACTGTTATCTTTTGAGATACTTATACTAGTAATGAATGTTTCCCTCCAGAAAAAGCTAAAAATTTTTTCCAAATACTATAATATCTGGTAGTGTTAAAATATTTCCAAACTTTTGTGTTTCTACCTAATAGGTTTGTTGGGGAAGTGCATGAGAAAGTTAATAGCAGCCTAGTATTCAACCCACATCTCTAAGCAATCAATAAGTTGAGCTGTTTTCTTTAAACTACATGACCTAAGCACCTAACTCACATCCTGAGAGAGAGTGTTAGGTAATAGAAAGAATGGACCACTGCCTTTCTATATTTATCTCTGGATCTTTGTACTTAACTCAAAAGATCTCTGGATTCTGAAAGCAGACTGTGGCAGTTTAAAACGTGGCATAAACATGGTAGCCTTGATCACCCCAAGGCAAATTAAACAACCTTCTTTGTACATTTATTCAAAAGTTTAGGTCAGGAACTTAAGCCTGCACATAACAATGTACTTAAACATTGCTGCTTTATACAACTCCATATATATTTTATTGTATAAGTTTGTCTCTCAAAGGAGAAAATGTTAACATAAAATAGAAAATAAAACTCTTAAACTTGCCAACATTCTGCAGTCTAAAATAATTTTCTATGAGAAGAAGCAAGATGGCGGAGTAAAAGGATGCTTGTAGCTCACCCTCTCCCACAAATACACCAAAACTCACATCTACAGACCCACTCAGCCAACCAGAGCACCTGCCGAATTCCGACAGAACATCGCCCTCTTTGAAAGACAAAGACGCCAAAAATCTGGTGGGAAAAAAGGAAAAAAGAAAGAAGAAAAAGCAAAACAGTGGGGACCGATCCTGCAGGGAGGGAGCAGCAAAGGAGGGCTGGCATTCATTCACTGGGTCTCCCTCCTCCAACAGAGAGACCAGTGGGATGAAGGAGGAACCTCCGAGGCTCAGATCTGCCCCGAGCACCCCTTGACTGACAGAACTGAGTTAAACGGGCACAAAGGGTCCCCATGACACCCAGCCCGAGACACGACCCGGCAGCTGGGGCCAGGACGGGCTGCCCAAGCAGGACGGAGGACTGGGGCGGCTGCACTGAGGCAGCCCTGGGGGACTGCAGGGGGCTGCGCGCTGTGGCTGGGAGGGAATACGGAGCAGAACCACCTCGGTCCCCCATAAATTGTGAAAAAAAGCAAAGGTACACAGCTGGTGTGCCCTGGGGGGGAGGGGCACCATAGCCTTTGTCTCCTCAGACCTGCGCCGCCATTACTGGCACTTCTCCCAAGAAGAGAGGCGGGGCGCAGCCACAGTTGCCATCTCCTCCTGTGCAAGTGCCCAGGCAGGGGCGGGGCCAAGACCTGAATCCGCACCTGGTGGCTCCACAACCTCCTAGGCAGGACTGAGACTTGTTTACAGCTGGAGGCAGATAGGATCTTTCTGCCCTGGTACCTCAGAGAACTTGTACCGCCAAGACAAACAAGGAGCTGAGATTTGGCATGGAGCAGAGGCGGGGCCATTCTGCGCTCTTCCCCGAGCCCACCTTTGGAACTCCGACCTGAGGCAGAGCAGGCAGCTGCACAGAGTAGCGCAGCGACCCAGTGCCGGGAAAGGGTGCACGGCAACCCGCTTTCCTGGCAGGAATGCAGCACCTGACCACAGTGCTGGGAGGGGGCATGATCTGCCCACCTGCCTCCCCCAAGTGCAGCATCTGACTGCGGCATCAGGAGGGGGAGTGACCCACCCGCCCACCGGATAAGAGCTCAGCACCTGAGACCCAGTGTTGGCAGGGGGAGTGATCTGCTAGCTGACAGCCACTGGGAGCAGCACAGGAGAGGGTGCCAACAGAGGGCCTCTGGAAACAGCAAGCTGAGTTTGAGAAACAGGCCGAAGACACAAAGACCTCTCAATAAAATCATTAAAAGCACAGCGTCTCCAGC